GAACTTTAAAGACCATTTTATTAAATGACCTCATTTCAGTGATAAGGTAATTGATGCCCAGAGAGCTTCAATGACTTACTTAAAGTGACTAGTGGCAGAACATTTACTGGAACCCAGGTCAGCTATTGCTTTGGTTTTTTCTTTCTTCTGTGTCACCTTTGTAATTTATATGTTGTGAAAATCTGTTTAATTTATAACTTTTGGTTTTTCAAAGAAATGAATTTCCAAATGGATCATGTCTTTTCTTAAACCTTAGTTTTAAAAACTTCTTATTTTGAAATAATTTCAAATTTGCAGAAACATTGCCAGAATAGAAGTAAAAAAACTCTCATATAGCCTTCATCCAGATTCCCCAGGTATTAATAGTTTACCACATTACCCTCTGTCTCCCTCCCTCCCTTTTTCTCTTTCTGTCTCCTTTAGTCTCTTTCTTTATCTCTTATATTAATATCTTTTCTGAATCCTTTGACAGTCAGTTACAGACATGATGCACTATTATCCCTAGGTACCTGGTGTATATTTCCTAAATACAAGAACATTCCTATATAACCTTAGTATACTGATTAAATACAAAAAAATTGATATGATAAATTATTAATATTACCATCTAATCCACAGATTTCATTTAAACAAAGTTTACCAATTGATCCAGTAATCTCAGTTATCAATAAAATGGAACCAATAAAATCTTTCTGGTCCAAGAATATAGTTTGGATCTAGTTATTGTTAAGAATAACTATACTTTTATTATATTTATGTAAATCAACTCAGTTATCTTTATGTAAGTCAACTTATGGTCCTGGAACTTATAAAGGTTACAGTTACAGCATAAAGCCAGCTATAATGCTGTTCTTCAGTAGAAACAAACAAAACCCTGAGCCATATATTAATAAAAATAGTTTTTTCTGTATTCAGGCTAATATTTTTACATTTACTAGTTAGGGTATAGTCTAAAGCTATAAAAAAAGATGTGTAAACTCTGTAGCTTAAACAATATAACATTTTGTTTCTTCATGTAACATTTCAGAGGTAGGAGATCTTCAGCTGAGAAGACAGCTCTACCTTTCTCAGTGTGTAATTTCCACCTGTGTCTAAGGCGGCTGTTCTAGATTTTAGCATTTCATTTTCATCCCTAGCAGCAGGAAGGAGAGGACAAAGTGCTGATGATACCTTCCTTTGTTTTGTTTTTTAAACATTTTAACAATAGCCATGCAATTTGGGAAGAACTAAGCCTCACCTTCCAGCTTCAAGTATTATACGTATTCAACTTCCTCTCCTCAGCCCTTTTATGATCCTCTTGGAACATAATGCACATATGGCAAAATGCACCAATTATAAAGTGCTCAGCTCAACTAGCACAAAGTGATTGTGTTGGTGTAATTTTCACCCACCTCAAAAAATAAAACTTTACCAGCTCTTCAGAAGCCCTTCTTGCCACTGTAATACTACACTATTCCCTCCCACAGGAAACCATTAAAACAATTGGTTTTTCCAGTTTTTAAACTTTATGCAAATGGAATCATATATTTGCTCTTTTGTCTCTGACTTCTTTCATTCAGCATTACATTTCCAATATCTATCCAAGGTTGTTGCATGTAGCAGTAAATTTTTTATACAAATAATCCATTTTATAATATACCATAATATATGTATATATTCTAATTTGATAAGATTTGGGTTATTTTCCTTTTGGATTGCCATGAACATTCTAGATAGCTTTGGTGCGCATGTTATAAGCATTTCTGTGGAATATCTACCTGGGAACAAATAAAGTATGTGAATGGTCAATTTAGCTAATGCCAAACAATTTCTTAAAGTGGTTGTACTCATTTACACTCCCCTCAGAAGTGTGGAACAGTTTGTGTCACTCCACATCTTCCTTCACTTTTGATATTGTCAGTCTTTTACATGTTAGCCATTCTGTTGGGTATGTCACAAGTGTAGTAATTTTATTTCCTTGATGATAGGAGAGCACCTTTTCATACATTTATTGGCTGCTGGGATATCCTCTTCTATGAAGTGCCTATTCAAGGCCTTTACCAACTTTTCTATTGGTTTATATTATTTCTTATTGATTTATGTTTCTTTTCTCCTGAGGCAGAGTCTTCCTTTTGTTGCATAGGCTGGAGTGCAGTGGCGTGATCTCCGCTCACTGCAACCTCTGGCTCCCAGATTCAAGCAATTATTCTGCCTCAGCCTCCTGAGTAGCTGGGATTACAGGCACACGCCACCATGCCCAGCTAATTTTTGTATTTTTTTTAGTAGAGCCGGGGTTTCATCATATTGGCCAGGCTGGTCTCAAACTCTAGACCTCGTGATCTGCCCACCTCGGCCTCCCAAAGTGCTGGGATTACAGGTGTGATCCACCAAGCCTGTCCTGATTTATAAAGGTTCTTTATGTTAGGTCAGTACAAGCCTTTTGCCAGTTGTCCATATTGCAGCTGTGTTTTCCCACTCTATGTGTTGACTTTTCTCTCTCTTATTAGGGTTTTTGGTGAACAAAAGTTCTTAATTTTAATATAATTCTATGATTCATTACTTTCCTTTATGATTTATGCTTCCTTTGTGTCCTATTTAAGAAATCTTTCTCCACTTTAAGGATTTGAAGATATTTTCTTGTTAGTGTCTAGAAACTTTGTTTCTGTCTTTTTCACATTAAGACCTATAGTCCATCTAGGATTGATTTTTAGGTATAGTATAAGGGTTAATATTTTTCTCTCATATGGATATGTTTTTGACATTGCACCATTTGTTGAAAAAGCTGTCTTTCCTACTGCTCTATAATGTCACTCTTACCATAACTCAAATATTCAGATATATGTGTAACTGTTTCTGGACTCTATTTTGTTCATTTTTCTGTCTTTACACCAGTACCATTAAGTAAGATTGTCTTAGTTATTGTAGTTATTATAGCTTTTTTTTCTTAAATAATTTTTTTTTGTAGAGACAGGTTCTTGCTATGTTGCCCAGGCTGGTCTCAAACTCCTGGCCCCAAGTGATTCTCCTGTCTCAGCCTCCCAGAGTGCTGGGCATAACCATCATGCCCCAGCAACTGTAGCTTTTAAATTCATACTAATATCTGGGAGAGTAATTTCTCCTACTTTTTCTTCTTTAGGATTGCCTTAACTCTTCTTGGTCTTTTACAAATCCATGTACATTTTAGATTTGTTCTCTGTTACCTTCACATAGATTTGTTTATATTTTATTCTTTCTTTTTAAAAACAAGCACAATCCAGATTTTGCACTTGTTACTTCCGTTCATATCCTAGTGGTCAGCATAGTTACATGACTATATCTAGCTATAAGGGAGACTTGAGAAATAAGTCTTTAGCTTGTTGACTATTTGCCCAGTTAGAGCTGTCACTGTGGCAAAAGAGAGATACTGAAACATGGTTAGCTTTATGCTACACCATTTGAGATCCTATTAAACCAGATGCAGTCTCACAGTTTTTATCCTTCCCCTCCTACCTCCATTGTGGCTCACTTTATACACTGAACATTCTCAGGCTTCCCCAATCACATCCTCCTACAGCATGAAGCATAGGTTCTGTAGATGATTCTATGTTCAGTAGACGCATGTATGTCTGGGAACTACCCAACCTAAAGGGGCAGTTAATTAATTGAGTATATTTATATGTGTGAGTCTAACTAGTTCTTTCATATAAGGGCCCTGGCTATGCTGTATTAAGTGTTTTTGCAGTATATAATTGAATCACCTATATAGAACATATAAAAGACTGCATGATGTTTTAACTTTGTTAGTAGTAGATTTTCCATATTTTCTTCAAAATAACCTGCAATTTTGTAAGTTTATCACAGTGCAAAAATGGGCACAAAATAGGAAATACTAGGCAGGAATTGGGAAGAGAAAAACAATGGAAAAGATTAGAAAGAGTTGCAAAGCATAATGTCTTCAAGTTTCATCCATGATGTAGCATGTATCAAAATTTCCTCTTTTTCAGGCTGATGAATATCCCATTCACATGTATGTGATATAAACATATATGTGTGTGATATATGTATATGTCTTGTATGTATATATCACATTTTGTTTATCTGTTCATCCATTAGTGGACACTTGTGTTGCTTCCACGTCTTGACTATTTCGAATAGTGATGTTATGAACTTTGAGTTTACATATAAATCCTGAAGATCTTACTTTCAATTATTTTAGATATATACCCAAAAGTAGAATTGCTGGATTACGTTGGAGCTTGTTTCTAGTTTTCCTATTGATGTGAAAGTTAAGAGATCTAACTGAAGTTAAAAAATAAAAAATCTTTTTAAAAGCAGAATTACAGTGAATGAAATTAAAAAAAAAATATAACTGTGGCTTTTTGGATAAATTGACTTTTTTTAAGGACGTGAGTTGTTTTTATTTGCTATTTTCTGTTTATATTTTTGTGAATTGGTAGTGTAGTGCCAGGAGTTTCAAATTCCTTAATTATTCTGTTACATGGGGGTGGGGGGGGAATTCTAAATAACCTTTCAGGAATTAAAAATTTATTTTAATAGTATAGTTGACTTTGAAATTTAAGCAGGAATTTTTCATGTATTTGTTTTGAAATACCACTAGACTGTTATGTAGGAATAAATGTCGGAGCAGGGGAAGCTTACTTGATTAGAAATAGACTAATTGTGGGTTCTAGTTCTACTCTCAATCTTGTAACCTTGGGTAGGTCACTTCAACTTTCTAAGATTCAGTGTTCTCCTCCATAAGTAGTTATTTATCTACCTACCTCACAGTGTGAGGCTCAAACAAGGTCATTCTTCTGAGAGTACTTTAAGGATATTAATATCTCTCTTATTTTGAAGCATTATTAAACGGATTTAGTGACATTATGATTTTGGAGGATAGCAGTTAATAACTTTCTTTAATACATTAACCAATTAGAATAATCATTTGCCTCAAAATAATATACACCAGAGCCTCTTTGTAGTATCTTTGAAAAGAATTTTAATTCAACTGAAAGGGAGAAAAATGATGTTAAGGTACTTACCTTGGCTTATGGTAACAACACTAAATTGAACGGATGGCAAGGAATCAAGTGGTCTTTATATATGCCCCTGGGGGAAAATGTTTAAAAACAGAAAGTTTTACAATTCCCCTCAAAATTGAAAAAAGTATATTATGTCTTATATATACTCCTGTTTGAGTTTAGGTTTCTTGAAAGCATCAACCTGTTAAATTCCCTCTAGTGCCTGGCACTTAAGCACAGTAAATGCTTAGTAAATATTAGTTCAGTTGAACTGAATATTTATACTCATTCATAATTATAAGTAAAAAGAGAGCCTGTTTGTCATAAAATAACATTCCTTCCCTCTTCTTGCTTCCACTGTATCATCTTAGGTGCCTTTGCAACAACCGTCCCTGACATAGCTACCACCTTGTACCTAATCTAAAAATTTTATTTTGCTGTAGTTTCTGCAGACTTTCCAATCAGAATCTGAACTAAGTGTTCAAAATTCTACAGTGGAAAATGAAAATTCTTGTTTTTTAAGGTTATGATAAAAATACATTTGTGGCTGGGCACAGTGGCTCACGCTTGTAATCCTAGCACTTTGGGATGCCAAGGTAGGAAGATTGCTTGAGGCCAGGGATTTGAGACCAGGCTGGGCACTGTAGCAAGACTTTGTCTCTACAAAAAATTTTCAAAAAAGATTGGCCAGGTGTGGTGGTGCACACGTATAGTCCTAGCTACTTGGGGGGCTAGTGAGGGAAATCACTTGAGGCTAGGAGTTTGAAGTTTCAGTGAGCTCTGAATGTGCCACTGTACTCCAGCCTGGTTGACAGAGCGAGACCCTGTCTCAAAACGAACAATAATAGAGCAGATGACATGATCATATATTTAGAAGACCCTGTTGTCTCAGCCCAAAATCTCCTTAAACTGATAAGCAATTTCAGCAAAGCCTCAGGATACAAAATCAATGTGCAAAAATCATAGGCATTCCTATACACCAGTAACAGACTTAAAGAGAGCCAAATCAAGAACAAACTGCCATTCACAATTGCTACAAAGAGAATGAAATACCTAGGAATACAACTAACAAAGGATGTAAAGGACCTCTTCAAGGAGAACTACAAATCACTGCTCAACGAAGTAAGAGAAGACACGAACAGATGGAAAAACATTCCATGCTCATGGTTAGGAAGAATCAATACCGTGAAAATGGTCATACTGCCCAAAGTAATTTATAGATTCAACTCTATCCCCATCAAGCTACCAAATACCTTCTTCACAGAACTGGAAAAAACCGCCTTAAACTTCATGTGGAACCAAAAGAGAGACCACATAGCCAAGTCAATTCTGAGCAAAAAGAACAAAGCTGGAGGCATCAAACTACCTGACTTCAAACTATACTACAAGGCTACAATAATCATAATAGCATGGTACTGGTACCAAAACAGAGATATAGACCAATGGAACAGAACAGAGGCCTCAGAGGCAATGCCACAGATCTACAACCATCTGATCTTTGACAAACCTGAAAAAAACAAGCAATGGGGAAAGGATTCCCTGTTTAATAAATGGTGTTGGGAAAACTGGATAGCCATGTGCAGAAAGCAGAAACTGGACCCCTTCCTGACACCTTACACTAGAATTAACTCCAGATGGATTAAAGACTTAAACATAAGACCTAACACCATAAAAACCTTAGAAGAAAACCTAGGCAAAACCATTCAGGACATAGGAGAAGGCAAGGACTTCATGACTAAAACACCAAGAGCATTGGCAACAAAAGCCAAAATAGACAAATGGGATCTAATTAAACTCCAGAGCTTCTGCACAACAAAAGAAACAGTCATTAGAGTGAATCAGCAACCAACAGAATGGGAAAAAATTTTTGCAATCTACCCATTTGACAAAGGACTTATATGCAAAATCTACAAAGAACTAAAACAGATGTACAAGAAAAAAACCCATTCAAAAGTGGGCAAAGGATATGAACATACACTTTTCAAAAGAAGACATATATGAGGCCAACAAACATGAAAAAATGCTCATCATCACTGGTCATTAGAGAAATGCAAATCAAAACTACGTTGAGATACCATCTCATACCAGTTAGAATGGCAATCATTAAAAAATCTGGAGACAACAGATGCTGGAGAGGATGTGGAGAAATAGGAACACTTTTACACTGTTGGTGGGAGTGTAAATTAGTTCAACCATTGTGGAAGACAATGTGGTGATTCCTCAAGAACCTAGAAATAGGAATTCCATTTGACCCACCAATCCCATTACTGGGGGTTATAGTAGAACAATTTATAATCCAAAGTATTATAAATTGTTCTACTATAAGGACACATGCACATATAGGTTCGTTGCAGCACTGTTGACAATATCAAAGACTTGGAAGCAACCCAAATGCCCATGGATGATAGACTGGACAGGGAAAATATGGCACATATGCACCCTGGAATATTATGCAGCCATCAAAAATGATGAGTTTGTGTCCTTTGTGGGGACATGGATGAACCTGGAAACCATCATTCTCAGCAAACTGACACAAGAACAGAAAATCAAACACTGCATGTTCTCACTCACAGGCAGGTGTTGAACAATAAGAACACATGGACACAGGGAGGGGAGCTTCACACACTGAGGTCTGTGGGGCGGTCTAGGGGAGGGACAGTGAGGGGGTAGGGAGTTGGGGAGGGATAACATCGGGAGAAATGCCAGATATAGATGTTGGGGATTGAGGCAGCAAATCACATTGCTATGTGTGTACCTATGCAACAATCCTACGTGTTCTTTACCTGTACCCCAGAATCTAAAATGCAATTATATATATATATATATTAAAAATATATAAATATAATTGTATTATCTGAGCATGTTTAAGTAATGATTCACTATAAAAACTATAAGATACTTGGTACATCATATAATTTTTTCTTCAGATGTTAATTTTACAGCTTTTATATCCCTTTTATTCATGTGCCACCTATGGAGAATACTTTGTTTACAACTTTCCCTTACTAAATTTTATCATTTTCAGGGTCAGTGAAGACATGAGATTAACTGACTCAGAGCTAGGAAAGCTGGCAAATAATATCCAGGAATTATTATATAGTGCCTCAGATATATGCCATGATCGAGCTGTCAAATTTCTCATGTCAAGAGCAAAGGTAATTATTTTCATAAAGCTTTACATATTTTATATTTTATACGTGATAATTTTGAAGATCTGGAATTATGTCTTTGCTTCCTATGTTCCCCATGATGCATATTGTATTTTTAACATTTAATAAAGTCAGTGTTACTGACATGGTCTGTTAGGGAGATGTTGAGATATAAAATTATCTAAATAAAAGAAACAAGAATTACTAAAGCATTACTTTCAAATAAATGATTTATTTTAAAATTATGTTAATAACTAATTTGAAATTAATGTTGTTTTACATATATATGTATGTGTATATATGTATACCTAAATCTATGTAGTCAAACAAGTTTATAATAAAACTCCAACATTGTGAAAATTTTACAGTATGACCTAAATTCACTTGAACTACTCCATTAGTTATAAAGGGATCAGAATCAAATTTGGACCTCTTAAGCATTTAATGCTCAATTTCTGGGTCTGAAGTGTTGGGAAATTTTATTAAAATGAAAAAATAATATGTATTATAAAATATATTTGTTAACTTGGTTTTTATAAGTCATTTATATTTGCTGTTACACTAACTCTCATGATTTTTGTATTAAAATTTAGGATGGTTTTCTTGAGAAGCTAAATTCCATGGAATTCATAACACTTTCTAGATTAATGGAAACATTCATTTTAGACACTGAACAGATCTGTGGAAGAAAAAGTATGTCATTACTTGGAGCACTTCAGAGCCAAGCTAATAAGTTTGTAAATAGATTTCATGAAGAGAGAAAAACTAAGCTCAGGTATCATCACCATGCCCATTCTGTTCTTTTGATTTTTTTATTTTATTTTGTGAAACACTGTTATATTTTGAAGCGGAAACTCAACTGGGCAGTGAAAATGCCTGATAAGTATTTTTTTTTAATTAAAGGCAGATTGTGGAATTAAAATTACATTTTTTCCTTTTCAAAGTGGAGTTAGAATGTTCACTTCTATTACAGTACTTATCAGGAAGATCCTCAGTAAGTTGACTTTTTTTCCCCACTCAAAGTTAATTGTTTCATAATTCTTTTTTGGGGGGGCTGAGATATAAAAAGGGAAATATTTTCTGAAAGTATTGGTCCTACTTATGAATGATTTCAGTTTATTGAAATGTTCAGCACATTTTGAGTCTTAATGTACTCACTCAGCTTTTTTTCCTTTTCCTTTAAACCAGGGAAGATAGTACTGAGATACTAAAGTTTACCTTCTTTTCTTTTTATTGTGGACTAGCCTCCTCTTAGACAATGAGCGCTGGAAGCAAGCTGATGTTCCTGCAGAATTTCAGGATCTTGTTGATTCTATTTCAGATGGGAAGATTGCTTTACCTGAAAAAAAATCAGGAGGTATGTGGATTCATTCACACATTCTCTTTCAATTTTATGTTATTTATTTTGTATGAATGCTTAATATTTCTTTAATTGACAATGCCTGTTGAAAAGTTAGAACCAATATTCCCAACGTAGTAAATACTTGACAGAAAAACTGTGGCAATTTATAATAATGATTTCAAATATTTATTGGGTGTTGTAACCATATGCCAGACACTGGACCATGTTTTTTACATGCATTACTCCAATTCATTCTCACAACAATCTGTGATGTCGGTACTGTCATTACTTTGTGTAACAATGAGGAGGCTTGAGGCTCAGAAGAGTTAAGTAATTTTTACACAAATGATGAGTTGGGATTTGAAACCAGCTTTATATAATTTCATAACTATGTTCTTAGATACTGTATCATATTGTTTACATGTATGTATTAAGTAAGCACTAGTTAGCTTCTATTTTGTGTTCTTTGTTGAGGCAGAATTGAGACAGAGATAGCAGTTAGAATTCTGCTTTAAAGAGGCTAAGTCTAATGAACAGAACCAACAATCACAATATAAGCAATCACAATAATGTAGTTACTCACGTAGAGAAAACACAAACATAAAACCATGAAGGAAACAAAAATGGAAGAACCAGAGAGGTAGGGAGAAATCTAGAAGATAGAAATAAAATGATTAGAGAGTTGTCACTGGTATCAAATACCAGGTGAGTTTTCATGTGAAAGGGGTGGCTGGGGGATACTTTTGTCTACTAGTTCAAGTGGAGTTATATGATAATAACGTAAATTTATTTATACTCCATCCTTTAATATCAGATTTATAATTATGAAATTCTTGAGTATTTCTAGTAGAGGAGGTATTGCATTATTTCAAATTTTATGCATTTAATCAAGGTTTTAAATTTCTACATCAATTATTATTATTTTTTTTTTTGAGACGGAGTCTTGCTCTGTCACCCAGGCTGGAGTGCAATGGTGCGATCTCTGCTCACTGCAACCTCTGCCTCCCAGGTTGAAGCTTTTCTCCTGCCTCAGCCTCCTGAGTAGCTGGGATTATAGGCATACACCACCATGCCTGGCTAATTTTTGTATTTTTAGTAGAGACAGGAATTCACCATGTTGGTCAGTCAGGTCTCAAACTCCTGACCTCATGATCTGCCCACCTCAGCCTCCCAAAGTACTGGGATTACAGGTGTGAGCCACTGCACCTGGCTTACATGGAAATATTTTTAAATTGTATACTTCACATTTGCACAAAATGCAACTAGACTACAAAAGAAAGACTGAATAAAATGCAAACAGTAACCATTAGTTTGACTCATAGATCATTTGCAATCTCAGTAATTCATTGGAGTGATAAAGAGTCAGATTGCACTTCAGTGCTAAGTAACTGGAAAAGTGAGGAAGGGTAGACAAGTATATATAGCCTGCTTTTTCAACAGATTTGGCTGAGAAGGAAAAGTGAGTGTTGAAGAAGTAGCTAGAGATAAAAAGAAGTTAGAGAGAGGGTGATTTATGGGACAAGGTGCCTGGAACAGAATCCAGAGTTTAAGAGAAAGGCTACTACTTCTGCTGCTATGACAAGGGGAAAAGGGCTAAGGAAAAGTATAAAATAGATTAGTTGATATGGGGTAGAGAGAAGAATTGAAGGAATTAAGTAAATTTTTGTTATATGACAGTTTTTAATAGGTAACAGTATTGGGTGGTAGTTAGAGTTTTCTAATTGATTGTATGATATTGGCAAAACTAAAGCACTTAAGTAGGAAGAGCTGAAGGAAAAGTGAAACACTCTGACCATTCTAAATCACTACTTTAAAATTATAAGACTTATCACTCATCTAGTCTTTCAAGCTATATTTAATTGACTTCCATCTATGTGAGGTGCTGTGCTAGATGTCTGGGACATGTTTTCTGTCCCTGAACAGCTCACAGTCTTTTGATTCTACTGTTAAGCAAACAGAATGATTTTTGAATTAAAATCCTAAATGTGGAATACTTGAATTAATTCATGTATTGTGTTTTGAAAAATGAACTATTTATTTTCACTTCTTTGGTGGATACTGATAGTAGGAGGTTTGTCTTACATACCTTGCTTCTGTCTCAGCCTTTTTTTTTTCCTCTCTGAATAGCATAGGGGTATGCTATTAGAAGTCCATTAACATTTTACTAGTTCTTTTCTAGTTAAGAATTATTTATCCATTTATCGATGATATATTAATTGGGTGACTAGCCACACAGCTAGGCATTGGGGAAATGAAGGTTAATGAATAGCAGCTGATGTTAATTGAGTGTTTACTTACACTGTTTTGTTCTAAGAATTTTACATGTGTTGTCTCATTTACAGGTCCATAAGCTAGATATTAGTATTGCTATTTTACAAATTTAGAAACTAAGGCACGAGGAGGTTAAGCAGCTTTCCTAAATTTACATAGCTAGGAAGTGGTAGAGCTGGGATTCAAATCCAGGCAGACTGACTTTAGGGCCATTTCTCTTTTCTACTATGCTATTCCGCTTCTCTGCGATATAGAGAAGTGATGAAGACACAGTACTTACCCTCAAAAAATATATATTCTTACATACGTAGTAAATTGTGATTGGAATATATATAGCTCTCAGATATTCATATACATAAACAAATCCCAAAGGGACTTGAAGCTTAGGGAAGCATACAATCCCAAAGGGATTTGAAGCTTAGGGACGCTTAGGGAGTTAGTTGTCCATGGTAATCTAATTTATTTGGTTTATCCAGGATAAAATCCAGTTCACTATTCTTTTCACCTCAATATGCTGAAGTTTGTTTTATAATGAAAAGAAATATCACATGCTGAAAATAAAAATAACTTCTGGATTGAAGTATTAAAAATTAAATATATAGTCTCTCCATCAAATTTAGAAATTAACTTCTATTCTATAATGATAATAGTAAAGGCAGCCAATTTAAATGTTAGTTCTACCTTTCCAAACAAATCACTTTTTAAAAAACTGTTTGCTGCTCATTTACCTTGTGCCAGCCCTAAGGGATAGGCAGTTTGTAATAATTATTTCTACCATTAACAATAACCCTGAAAGATATTGTTGTCCACATTTAATAGATACAGATAGTGCTACAAAGAGGTTAAATAATTGGCCCAAAGTCATGTATCCAGTAATTGGTAGGACTGGTACTCAAATCCAAATCTTTCCAACTTCCTGTATACTTTATTTACTGTGTGTCATAGTTTCCCAGGAAGTAGATGTTTATTTTCAGAAATGAGACAGTTGTAGGCCCTAAACAGAAACTATCTTCTTCAGCTTTTTCTCCATTATTTTATTTCATGTGGTACTCTTGTCTCTCTTGTTTATTTTCTTTACTCTCTAGCCACAGAAGAAAGGAAACCAGCTGAAGTTCTTATTGTCGAGGGACAACAGTATGCAGTTGTTGGGTGAGGACATATTTTTCTTTAGTAGTTGAATTAACTATTTAAAACACAAGTCTTCTGCTTCTTCTTTGAAGTGAATTGGAAATTTTGGATTAACAATTTTAACAGTGCTGAATTTGGATTAACAATTTTAAATCCTTAAAGGAAGCTTTATGGATTTTTTATCTTCTGTATTCTGTAGCATACATTATTAAGGACTACACTGACTTAACACAAAAGGCTTGATTTTTCTCATATAACAATCTAGATAGCCCAAGAGTGATTGTAGTGGATCCATGATATTATTATTGTTATCCCAGGCTTTTTCTTTTCTTTCGTTGCTTTCTTAGAGTGTATTATAGCATAGTAGTTTAAGTTGTGGACTCCAGAACCCACACAATGTGGAAAATAGTACTATACATAGAATTATTGTGAAACTTAAACAAATAATTTATGTAAAGCATTTAGTGCAGGTCTGGCACCTAATAAGAAGTTACTAGTTGTTGGTAGTTATTTTCACTGGCATCATTTGAGTCACTAGGTCTTTTACCAGTAAAAGTATCTCAAATTCAAGTTAACTAAGAAGCATACAGATTCCATCATTTTTTGTCTAGTACTATATGTCTTTTATTAAATTGGTAATTAAAATATATCTTCATATTCTTTAACAGTACTTCACAGCTTAAGTATTTTCATATATGTGTCATCTCATTTGATCTTTACAACTACACTGTAAAATAGAGGTATCGGGGATTATTTCCTTTCTACACTATGAGAATTGAAGCTTAGAAGATAAGGTGGTTAAAGTGACCTAGGTCTCTCCTGATATCTAGACAAGCATTCTTTTTCACTTTTTTTCTTTAGTTCATATCACTGTGTAAGTGTTTTTTGAAATGGCCACCCCTCCAGGAAGAATGTACTTCTGTATCACTCAATCTTAGCACTTAACAATCGTATAATAGAATTATTTATTTATGTATATGTTTTCTTTTTTTTTTTTTTTTAAATTGCATTTTAGGTTTGGGGTACATGTGCAGAACATGCAAGACAGTTGCATAGGTACACACATGGCAGTGTGTTTTGCTTCCTTTCTCCCCTTCACCCACATTTGGCATTTCTCCCCCGGCTATCCCTCCCCAGCTCCCCCTCCCGCTGGCCCTCCCCTTTTCCCCCCAACAGACCCCAGTGTTTAGTACTCCCCTCCCTGTGTCCATGTGTTCTCATTTATCGTCACCTGCCTATGAGTGAGAATATGCGGTGTTTCATTTTCTGTTCTTGTGTCAGTTTGCTGAGAATGATGTTCTGCAGATTCATTCATGTCCCTACAAACGACACAAACTCATCATTTCTGATTGCTGCATAATATTCCATAGTGTATATGTGCCACATTTTCCCAATCCAGTCTATCATCGATGGGCATTTTGGTTGATTCCAGGTCTTTGCTATTGTAAACAGTGCTGCAGTGAACATATGTGTTCATGTGTCCTTACAGTAGAACGATTTATAGTCCTTTGTATATATACCCAGTAATGGGACTGCTGGGTCAAATGGAATTTCTATTTCTAAGGCCTTGAGGAATCGCCACACTGTCTTCCACAATGG